GAGAAATTTGATGACTACACACATCAAGACCCGGTCGTCTGGTGGCAAGGATTTACAACGGAGTTGGGGATTCACGAAGTCCTTGACCATCTGTTCATCAGTGCTCTGTTCATCAACACCAAGGGAGGTTGTCAGATCTGGCTCAGCCACATGGCAACCATCCACGGCGTCCAGGTTTCAGACCTGTACAAGGTCTCCTGGGAAGACATGACAAAGGAACGGAAGAAGCGGTTCATCGTCGACGACGCCCCGACACTCGCCGTCAACCGCATCTTCACGATGGCTCAAGGGAGCACACCGACACGTGACTGGCTCACGGATTGGCAGAAAATCGTGGCAACGCCCGATTTGGACTTGTCATTTCCGCATCTGCGGCGTGAGTTCTACAACAGGTCATGCGCCGCTCTCAGCCTCGCACTTGGTGATCGCGAGCAGTACAACACTTTCGCGGAGATAATCAACAAGGCGAGAGAGCTCAACAAGACTAACAGGCCGGCTGCACACGAGAAGTCCACGTGGCAGCCAACCTATGTGGAGAAGGTACGAACTGGTCCGCGACAGCAGCAGTTCGCTGCAGTCCGGTCGGACAGTGGAGATAACCCAGCAGCCATTCCAGCATCAAGTGACAGAGATCAGGTGGCTGTTGTCCAGCCGCGAAGCACCAATAAGTCCCGCAACAACGGGAAGGCGAAATCCGCATCGCAGGCAGGAAATGGACAACCAGGACAATTTCCATGGGTCAAGTTTGGCTTGACCGAGGCGGAGTACAAGGTCCGCGGCCGCTACGGCAGCTGCTACTGGTGCAACAGCACCAAGCGCAAGACCTCCCTGTGCCAAGATCTGGGCAAGGAGGATGTGCGACCCCGCCTCAGCTCGGGAAACCGAGCTCCGCGGAAGGTGAGGCGACTCCACCTTCTACTCCGCGAGATTCGGCCACCTTGCTAGCAGCCTCCTGCACATCTGGGGAGGATGCGAATGTCGCTGTCCACTTGGTTCCACCGTTGGACCAACCGCTCCACGTGCAACAGTCCACCGCATGCACGGTTTCATCACCATTGGCAAAAGATTCGGCAGCTTCGCCGCAGTCTATCGCCGGGGATTCGACGTCATGGTCAAGACTTGATGAGCTTGACCCGTTGACGTTCACGGACTTCCAGTGGATGCCCGTTCCATCGACCGGACGATTGCCGAAACCGCATTGCAATGTGCTCATGGCACAATTGCGGGACTACTTACACTGCAGTACCAGCTCCGTTGATGGACGCCGGAGCAGAGGTTGTCGACCTTCTCGCGTACATCGCGAAGATCGACCGCGAGTTCAAGACGCAACGGTACGACGACATCGACGCACCATTGCTATACATACGCATTCAGATCGGAGAGGCGACCTGCAGTGCCTTGATCGATTGCGGAGCATGTCGCAACTACATCAGCCAGGACTTCATGGTACGCGCCGGCCTTGGCCCACGTGTCCGGAGGAAGTCCCAGCCTACGCAAGTCACTCTGGCAGACGGTCATACGCACAAGTCCATGGACCGGTGCATTGACGCCGTCCCAGTGTACTTTGCCCCTCACGCAAGTGAGGCGGTGTCCTTTGACATTCTGGACACCAAATTTGACATGATCTTGGGCATGTCATGGCTGCGAAGCGAGGATCACCCGGTGAACTTCTTCAAACGCACCGTTTACATTCGTGATCCTCGAGGACGGGGCCGTACCTCCGCGTGGTTGCATCTACCGAATGAGCGAGGAAGAGTTAAGTGTGCTCCGCACACAACTCGACGACCTTCTAGAAAAAGGCTGGATTCGGCCTAGCTCATCGCCATACGGTGCTCCTGTTCTCTTCGTCCGAAAGAAGAACAAGGACATGCGGTTGTGCATCGATTATCGCAAGCTCAACGCGTAAACGATCAGGAACGCCGGCCCTCTCCCACGCATCGATGATCTTCTCGGGCGATTGGGCGGCGCCCAGTTTTTCTCGAAGCTGGATTTGAAGTCAGGGTACCACCCCCAACTCGAGATTCGCAAGGAGGACCGTTACAAGACCGCATTCAAGACACGGTATGGGCATTTCGAATGGCTGGTTATGCCATTTGGCCTTACGAATGCCACGACCACTTTTCAAGCGGCTATGACAACGGAGTTTCGACACTTGCTGGATCGATACGTACTTATCTATCTCGACGACATCCTGGTGTACAGCCGGAGTTTGGAGGAGCATGTGGAACACCTGCGCACCGTTTTGGAGCGGCTACGACAGGCCAAGTACGAAGCCAATTGCGACAAGTGTGAATTCGCGCGGCAGGAGCTGGAGTACTTGGGCCATTATGTGACGCCGCAAGGCATCCGTCCGCTCGCGGACAAGATCGAGGCCCTACGAGTATGGCCCGAGCCCACAAACACCACGGACGTTCGTTCATTCATGGGATTGGCGGGCTACTATCAGCGATTCATCACCGGATACTCCAGGATTGTTGCACCTATGACGAGGTTGCAGTCGCCAAAGGTGCCATTCGTATTCGATGACGACGCACGCCGGTCATTCCAAGCACTTAAGACGGCCATGCTCATGGCACCCGTCCTCAACATCTATGACCCCACCTTGCCGACGAGAGTGACTACGGACGCTTTCGGCTATGGCATTGGGGCAGTCTTGGAACAGCACGACGGCGATGACTGGCACCTTGTGGAGTATTTCAGCCACAAAGTGCCTCCCATCAACTCGCTTGATGATGCAAGGAAGAAGGAGCTACTCGCGTTCGTCATGGCTCTCAAGCGATGGCGGCACTTTCTCCTTGGGCGTCGTAGGTTCACATGGGTTACGGACAACAATCCATTGACCTACTACAAGACGCAGGATACGGTGAGCAGCACGATCGGACGATGGATGTACTTCATCGACCAGTTTGACTTCACACCG